TGAAACCGAGTGGCAGCTGTTTAAGAAAAGCCTACTCGAGGCTGCCGCCGAATGCTGCGGATATAAACGGAGATCAGAAAAGGTCTTCATGGTGGACACGAGAGGTACAACTGGCAGTTAAAGAGAAAAAAGCAGCGTTTAAGAAATGGCTTGGAAACAAGGAGCCATCTAGTGCGTGCGATATGCGAGGCACGCAAGGCGACTGCGAAAGCAGTGGCGAAAGCCAAAGTTGATTACTGGGAGAAGTTCGGTGAGGTGTTAGAGTCGAATTTCCACACAGGAAACAATGTGTTCAAGCAGACCGTCCGCCGACTCTGCGGTGAAAAAAGCGGCAGTCGAAAAGTTTTGAAGGACAGGATTGGACACCCTCTTGCCAAGGACGAGGATACTCCTCAACCCCAAGCAACCGCAGGAAGATTCGCCTGTGGAGCAACAGGGAACGGAGAGTACTATGTCTGTAGATCAAATGATTCAAGCTGTGAAAAGCTGGAATAGGCTGCTGGAATTGACGAAATCCGCCGTGAGATGCTCAAGGCATTAGGCGAACAATACACGTGCTGGTTTACACGTACCTGTCAAACAGCAGTGACGACGGGGAAGGCACTAGCGGACTGCAGAACGAGAGTTATTGTAATCGTATTCAAGAAGGGAGACCACAAGAAATGCTGCAATTAGAGGGACCTTACGTTATTGAGCCTTCCAGATAAAGTCTACGCAAAGGTTCTAGAAAGAACGTGCTGCGAAACAGCTGACATGAAGATACAAGAAAAACAGTATGACTTCCGGCCCGGTCGAAGCACAGCTGACATGTAGATACAAGAAGAGCAGTGTGGCATCCTGCCCGGTCGAAGCACCTCAGGCCATATATCTTCACTGCGCCAGATTGTTGAGAAATCATGGGACTAGGCCCAGCCGGTAGGCGTACATCTATTTTGTTGACCCAGGAAAAGCCTATGACCGGATCCCATGCGACAGTCCCATGTCATGTCTGTGATAAATGGCCAGCTGTTACGAGCCATCCAATCACTGCATTCTGATAGCAAGTCCTGTGTCAGAGTAAATGGTGCTAAGTGGAAGCCTTTCAACGTTAGCATTGGTTTCCGCAAAGGATAGGATAGTTAGGCGCAACGAAGAAGATGAGTGTGCATGGGTGCAGGAGATATACAAACTAGAAGGTAGCTGTTTGCAGACGACCTTGTTTTACTCGCATCTTCTGAAACTGACCTGCAGTGCTCCCTAATGGGACCTGACCGACAAG